GTGTGTTTTCTTTTGTCAAACTGCAAAATACAGGAGAGAGGCAAATGGGAGGGACTATACATGAAACACAGTGCAGCCAAGGAAAAAACACAAACCAAAAAAAATTCACACCTCAAACACCGAAACTAGATAGAAAGCTGGATACAAAGAGTGTCCCTTCACTGTGCAACACCATCTGAGGGACTGGCAATCTCCTACATTATAAATCTTTTATTTCACAAAATAATAGCATGAGGTGAACACCTCCTTCGGGAGACAGAGAGATCATGGTGCTCAGAGAGGCAGCATCATGGAACTGTCTGAACCCAGCAGCTGTCCCCTGTCACAGTGCTGGCAGTGCTGCAGTGAGGCTGCAGGAGTGACCTGTCCCTCCTGGAGCTCCCCACCACCACCACCCCACACAGCCTCCACCAGAGGGACGAACTGGTGCTCTTATCACAAATAAATAAAGTTAATGTTTTATTGACACCGAGTTCCCARTCAGTGCCAGGTGAATTCAGGGCAGTTCAAGCTGGTGTGGCATGCAAGAAGCCTGGGATAAAGCCAAGCCTGGAGTGCCAAGGAGTGCTGGCACACAGGTCTGCTCAGGACAACATCTCCAAGGGATAGCAYGGCAGCCTGGACCTGACCTTTTAGGCACAGTGCTCCAGAAGTGGCCTTCAAGCTCATTACTCAAGTTGCTAATTGTGTGAACCACAGAAGAGGCTTCCCCTCCCTCTTTGTACAGATAATTTAGCTACCTCTGCCCACAGGAGTGTGACTCTTGCAAACACGTTTTCCATTGGCTTTTTTGGAGTGTCTTGGTCTCCCTGAACCCAGGCTTTGTCTTGCTGGTGCCTTGGTCAGCAGGAGAGGAAAAGGCGATGGATCCTGCCTAGACCTGCCCAGCACCATTCCTGGACTGCACAGGAGGGGAAGCTGGGCTGTGCTCTCTGCTCCAGCCTTGTGCCACCCCAGGCTCCTGCACAATGTCCCCGTGTCCTTCCCTCTCAGCCGTCCTTCCCTTCGGTGGCCAGCCCAAGGTCAGTGGAGCAGGCACTAAAACCAGCCAAGGAGAGCAAACATTTGGGTACATTAAACACAACAAAGGGCTCTGGGTTGAGAGACTGGCACAGCAATGGGACTTGGGGGGCTGCAATGGGCCTGAGACGGACTCTGATGGGCAGCCCTGCACRGGCAGGTGAGGAAAGCAGGAGCTGGATGAATCCTGGTGGACTACAAAGCAGGAGGGATCTTAGACCAGCAGCCTCCTGTGATGCCATGAAGAGTTGCCCCCTGGTCAGTAACGAGTGTCCTGACAAATTATTGCAGTGTCCAGGAGCCTTTCCACAGTGCCCACAGAGCAGCCATTGCTCCTGCCTCCATAAACCTCTTGAGRCAGGCAGGGCTCCTTTTCACTGATGCACAGACTTTCAGGAGAATCCCAGATTTGTCACAGCTGCACAAGGATGCTGCCCACGGCTCAGCCATGCCATGCATCCGGCAATTCAGCAGAAACACCAAGTTACAAGTCAGCTTGTTTGCAAGGTGGTGGAAAATCCCCAGGTTCCCATGGGGAATTTCTACACTCAGAACTCTTGCACAAAAGGTGCTGCTCTTGRTGGCCTTTCTCTCTTCATGGTCTCTGCTGCTGCACAGCAGAAGAGGGACAGGGGACAGTGTCCATGAAGATGACATGTTTTGGGAGCAAGCTGGCCATACACACAGCATGCAGCACACAGCCCACTGTCCCCTCTGGGCTCCTCAGGCTGCCACTTTGGTCTCACTGAAGACATAATCAATATTTTTGCATGCTTTCCCAGGTCTGGGCCTTGGAAGGGGGGAGTGCAGCCTATCAGGGGGTTTTTGTGACATAAAACAGGGGAGACCATTCCATGTTCAGGGTCAGGGCTGACTCATGTTGGTGATGAGGTTTGTGGCTGTATTTCTTTAGCCATGGCTGCACTCCTGRAGCCCTGTTGTCCAATTCTGCCTTTATTATGTGAATTACATACACCGTTGTTTGTTGGGTTCTTTTTTTTTTAAAGCAAGCTATTTAATCCTTCCATTGGRCCACCTCTTGTCTGAAAATAGTTTTAAGTCTTGCCCCCAGCTACAACAGAAACAGTAAGAGCAGCTTTACAAAGGCAGTGATGCTGCAAAATAATTTTGAACTCATGCAAAGTTTGCATCCGTGTCTCCTGATTCCATGAACCACTGTGGGTGCAGAAGAACTGYGATTGCAAACTGCTGTCACATGCCTGCCCGTGCACAAACAATGGGATACATGGATGCTCACCCTGCCAGGCCCATCTCCCAGGAGGAATGAACCCACCTGCTGCAGCAGGAAGAGCAGGGTGAGAAGATGGAGAGGGTGGAGAGGGAAGGCAGGAAGGGGAGCACAGTTCCTGTGTCGGCAACAACAGGGGGACTGGGAGACRGTTTGCAGCCTTTAACCAGACCTGACAGGAGGAAAGGCTGAAGTGCCAGAATATGCAAAGAATAAAGAACTTTTGGAATTTTGAAACACTCAATTTCAGGCCAGTTCACTGTCAGGCTGGAACAGCCTCTGCTGTCACATCACCTGGAGGTTTAAGCTGAGCACCTCTGCTGCCCTGAGCAGGGTGACAGGATGGGGTTCCTGGCTGAGGAAATCCCCATTCCCATGTGCAGCCCCACTGTTGTGATGTGGGAGCTCTGGCACAGCCCTGCTCCCAGGTACTGAGTAGAGTGACACAGACACAAGGGGCAATTCTGCTCCTGGGGAGTCTCACAGAGCAAGCAGGTGGGGATGACTTGAAGCCAACCAAAAGCAGGCAATTTGTCCTGATTAGACATAAAACAGGGGAACAAATCATCTCATTTGGATGAGGTAGTCTGGAGCAAAATATTTAAATTTTGTGCTCTCACTGGAGAAGAAAATAAAGAAACAGCAGATCCATCACTTAGCAGTTGTGATGGTAAGTGTGCTGCGTATAGGACATTGCTAATATGCTGCACTCCTCGTGTGCTGTGCTGCAAACCTGGGAGGTTTGGCTTTTTCTAAGCATTTTTCAGCAGAGTCCATCCCTAAGCACAGAATGGATGCTGGTGGCCCCTCCCCCAAAGTGGTGGGAAGATGTTTGTACAGAGACCTCAGGAGCCACAAACCATGGGTGGGAAGCCAATCTTTCTCCATGGTCTGCCAGGAGCTCTGCAAGGAAAGCAAAGGATGACGAGGCAAGGGTGGGTTTTGTGTGGCTCGTGTGTGATTAAAACCCAGCAAGGGTTCGACAGGGCTGCTGTGCTGAGCTGGGGCAATAYAAGAGCTCTCAGAGCTGCTCCAGGCTGTCCAGGAGCTCCCCATCCATTCTGGCCAGGGCTGTARGATCTACAATATCAGGTCAATCCCGTGACACTAAAGATAGCACARTGTACACTTGTGAATTCTGGCAACAGATCTGCAAGTGACAAACACAGAAATGTAAAGTGTTGCCATACAAGAACACTATAGCGATTTCCAGCGTGAGATGTCCTCTTCTGTTTCTCATCCTGCTAATGAAAAATAGATTAGCATCATAGATGCTTAGGATGTTCTGTGTGGGAACGGACTCTTGGTGGGCACCTAATCCAACACCCTCCCAAGYAGGACCAGCCTCAAAGGTACAGCGGGCTGGGCAGGGTTGCACCAGGTTGGGGGTTTAGTGTTTTTAAGGATGGAGACTGCACAGTCTCTTGGAGCTACTGAAGTGACCACCATCATGGAGAAAAATTCCTCCTTTTCTTCTATGAAGACAGGCTGAGGGAGTTGGAGAAAAGAAAAGAAGGCTCCAGAGAGACTTTCCAGTGGCCTTCCAGTACCTAAGGAGGGTCTACAGGAAAGATGGAGAGGGACTTTTTACATGTGATTGGATAAGCAGTAGTGGCCTTAAGCTGAAGGAGGGCAGGTTTAGGTCAGATGCCAGCAAGAGATTCTTTACTGTGAGGGTGGTGAGACAATGAGACAGATTGCTCAGAGAAGCTGTGGGTGCCCCATCCCTGGAAATGTTCAAGGCCAGGTTGGGTGGAGCAACCTGGTCTGGCAGAAAGTGTCCCTGCCCATAGCCGGGTGAAGTGGAACCAGGTAATCATTAAGGTCCCTTCCATCCAAACCAGTAATTCTGTGATTCTGGTTTGACTGAGTTGAGCTGTGCCCCAGAATCAGTGCTGACCCTGCAGGGACACCGCTCCATGGCTGTAGCTGGAGCTAGATGTACTGAGTGCTGYGCTGTGGTCCCAGCTGCCATCCAGCTGCCATCCATCCCCCTGGCCCTTCCCAAGCCAGGGCACTGCTCCCCACTCGACTGCTGCCCCACCAGCTCTGCTGATGTCAAACTGAGTGACATGGAATCGGAAAACCTCCATGTTTGCCCACCAGTCCACTTGTCTCACAGGCTGGTGGATGTGGTGCACCCTTAGTAAATCCCAGCCACTTCCTTGTATTCCATCCGCTGACAAATAGCTTCCCGAAGGAGTTCCACACCTAAAAAGTAATTATTTATTTTCTAATCATCCCCTTACAGTACCCTATGTCCCAACAAATGGCAACTCATCGTAGTGGGAGAACTATATCTACTACTTGCAGGTTAATTGGAAAAAAAGGAAAAGAAAAAAAATGAAAACCCAGAGAGAAACAAGTTCTCCTTTGCTTTATCTGCTCTGATAGCAGCTATCACACAGAGCCTATCACAAACCCTTCAGGCTCTTGGCAAAATGCGTAACTCTGCTGACCTGCTAAGGCAGTCAAGAGAAAGGAGAAGGGCATTTGATTGGAACAAACTTTCCCTTGCCAGCATTATCAACACCCTTTATAAAGAACTCTATCTGCAGCAGGTTGATAGTGGCAAGCAGGGGCTTTCACTAGCACAGGAAAGCAATCTTGGTGACCTTCAGCAGAGAAGAAGGTATAAAAACCAAAGTCTTTTTCTTGGGTGACTGTCTGGGCACCAGCTGAATTTCTTAGCTTCCAAGGAGGACACATTTCTGGGAACTTTTTTGAGAAAATGGCAACTTTAAATGAAAAGAAGACCTGCAGCCAACGGATGGAAGATTTCCGTCGTTTTGTCTGGAACCCAGAAACAAAGCTCTTCATGGGAAGGTCCTTAATTAACTGGGGTAGGTTGTCATGTGCAAGATTCTTCTCTTCCTTCTGCTATATTTATAAACTGCATGTGGGGGGTGTCATCTCATGAGTGGGATGCAATRTAGATGTGTTGAAGACAGCAGTTCTCGTATTTGCTTCTAAACCACTTTTCGGGTGGCCCTATGAGCTGGATCAAGTAGATCAAACATTGATCCAAGTAGSTCCTGCAAACTAATGACTTCAAAGTGGTTTCGAACCAAATACTTCAAAAGGAGAAAAATTTGCCATGGCTGCAGAGAGAGCAGTGTACTACCCTGTTMAAAAAATGAGATTCTGCCCTTATTCTTTTCCACAGTGTGGATCATCCTCTACTATCTGGCTTTCTACGTGGTGATATCGGGGCTGTTTGCACTCTCCATTTATTGTTTAATGCAGACAATTAATCCCTACGAGCCGGATTACCAAGACCAGCTGAAATCCCCAGGTACTGTAGGGTCCTGCAGCAGCTGCGTAGGACTGGGCTGGGAAGAGAGGCATTGGCAGAGCCMAGGGCTGAGGGGAGACCAGCATGGAATAAAGCAGGTCAATCCTGCCCAAACAATCCCTGCAAAGTTTAATCTCTGCCTGAAATTACTTTCAGGCTTCAAAAAAAAAAATCTGGCACATTTATTTACGTATTGATATGTGAATATATAATATKGAAAAATAGTACATTAATTCATTCCATTACGCTGTTGGGACGATCATGCCTGCCTGTACCAGGTCACCTCCTCTCCCCATGGGCAGGGGTCAGTCCCTGGGGAGGTCCCTGGGTTCTGCCCCAACCCCCAAAGCACCACAGAGGGCTTTGGGGTGCCCAGCAAGACGTGGAGGTGATAGGGTGAGCAGCCTCGGGTAGGTACTCCTATGCTTGCCAGTACCATGGGAAGTCCCTGAAAGAGCAGGAATTCCTTGCCACCAGGATCTGCTGTGCCAGTGGTCAAGGAAGCAAAATAAAACAAAGACACGTGGGATTAGGAATGAAGATCTGTGGGACATGAAAAGAGACAGGAGAGATGATCAGACATCATCAGCTCACACTGCTWAAGCTTCACATTCCAATGCCTTGTTTTCACAATGGGAGGGGGACAAAAACTTTTTAGAAGCTATAGCCCTAAAAATTATTGTCAGGTGCTTTTGTATTTTGAAGTTTCCACTCCCAGTATTCACTCCCAGTATTTTGCTGGCAAAATAATTCCTGTAACAAGTTATGTGCGGCTTCTACAAAAAACTGTTTCTCATGCTGCCTCATGTGTTTCTTTAACCCAATGTGACTGTTATTGCTAACATGTCCTGGGGAAATCCGGTGCAACTGCTGGAATGATTTTACAAGCTGTTCTTATAACAGCATGGATATATGTGAAAAGAAAACAATTCAGCAGCAGCAGAGGCTTTGGGGTTTTGGTTGAACAACTCAGAGCTGAGGTGGCTTCTGTACATGGTTAAATCCTCCCCAACAAGGCTGAAGGATCTCCTGCACTTACAATGAGTCTTGATGCAGCGTAATTGCTATTGTCAATCTAAATAAACAAATCTGTGCCTGGCATCTCTCCTCTGTTTTGTCTTCTCTTTCTCGTGAAGGTGTAACCTTACGACCCGATGTTTATGGGGATAGAGGACTACAAATTTATTACAACGTATCCGACAACAAAACCTGGGAAGGTTTAGTGACAATTCTTGACACTTTTCTAACAGGTAAAAATTAAGTTTCTTGTACAATACTGAAAAAAGGTGCTGTCTTATATCCCATGCTAGGTCTGAGGACCTTAAGCCACTGCTTCCATTTTACATTTGTCCTTCTCAAATCGCAGATTTTGAGTGGAAAAATCATCTTCTGAAAGGGATGAGCAAATCACCTCATGAATCTATAAATCCAACGTATGTACACATCTATTAAAATCCAGGTTCTTCTTCAGGGCTTTTACTTTATTTAATCCTATGTAGCCTCAATAAAACAGACCAATAGAAAGTATGAAGGAAGAGAGAGGACAAAAGGTCTTCAAAACTAGTCTCGTCTAAATTAATCTGATTAATTTGCCTGTGACTACAAACATCAAAGTGCCATAATAAATCTTGTAAAGCTGTTGCATGGTGTCATCAGGGAATTGTCAAAGTAGGTTATATGCTCTGTTTGCCTGTTTGTATCTTATAACATTGATATATATTTATATTTTTTATATATTATAGATTTATGTATTTCTATTGCACCTTAATGCTGTAATTCTTTATGATTCTCAAACACATATTGAGAAAAACTGTTATTTGAAATTGACTTTATATGGAGCTATCAACACAAACTGCCAATCTTAACCCAATTCGATCTCTTTCCTTTTGCTTTGCTTYGACATTCTAAAAAAACCACAACAAAATTGAACCCAACCCCTAAACAGTTTAAGATTTCCTTGCTCCATCTAATCCCAACTTCACTTGAAATAGTCTCCCATGAGAGAATCTCCAGCCTGATGTTGGGATGTATAATTTGCATATGAAAAGCTTCAGAAGGGATTTTTTTCTTTCTTCTTCACAAATGTAGCATATACACCAGCTGCTCAGCATCTGAACATCAACTGCACCAATAACACATACTTCATCCAGGACACCTTTGATGGCCCAAATAAAACGAAACTATCCTGCAAATTCACCTCAGATATGCTTCAGAACTGCTCTGGCATCACAGATCCAACTTTTGGATTTCCAGAAGGAAAACCCTGTTTTATTATAAAAATGAACAGGGTAAGTTCAAGTTCAAGGTGCTGAGCAGGAGAAATTCAAGAGCAGCTTGATTCTCTGCTGGGGAGCTGCTGGGTCTTTGATGCTGTGGGTTTTAAACTCTGCTTTGTATTGGGGAAATGATGTGTTTTTCCCTGACATTCCCCTGGAGTCACCAGGGAAATCCTGAGACTTTTTCACCACCACTAGGAAAGTAACACAGGGGAAGAAAGTAACACAGATCTCTGAATGGACTCTCAATAGCTTTGGCTTTCCTTTACTTTAGTTTAGTTAATGCCTCTGTAGGGCTCTCATCCCACAAACCAACACCAGAAGAGTTTCCTCCTGCAATACCACAGCCCTGTGCCTTCAGCTGAGGCATCAGGATGTGACAGTCACTGATGTGGTTTCAGAGAGGTGATATCTTATTTCTCCAGGCACCAAGAAAAACAGTAAGAAGAACCCACAAAAACAAAACCCAAACCTGGTGTATTTTTTCCTTAGGGAAAACCACCAACACCTTTTTTTGGAGAGGAATAAATGGAATTTTCATTGCTTTAAATTTTTTTCAGGACATAGACAGAGGCATTGTATTTATTTTTAGGTAAATTTTTGAGCCTTCTGATTCAATTTTGGTAGAAGGTGAAGAGGTCAAATTCCCCTCCAGTTTCTGGTAGACAAAATCACTGCATTTTTGGTTTGGCTTGCACCTTATTCATTTTTCAAAAATCTGTGCAAGCCCGAACTGAGAAGGGAGCTGTGTCCCTGATTCTGGCAGGTGCAACAGGCTTTTTCCAAAAATGCCTTTTTCTGCAAGGTTGGGTGGCAGCCCCAGCAGGGAGAAGACATGGACAATGACCAGGGGGCTTCACCTCCTTTCACCTTTGCTGCTACAGGATGCAACCCCACTTGTTTCATAGGGTGAACCAGCCCAAGGATTTTTCTGCCAAAACCAAGGCTTTCTAAGAAGGATAAGATAAATAGCATGGACATTCACATAATTATTGACACACGATTAAGAGTTCTAAGGGAGCCCTGGGCATCAGCAAGGACAGGTGGTATGGGTGGGTAAATGARTTGGACTTGGAGGAGGTGCAGTGTTGCTTGCTCTGGCCAGGCTGGAGCCCATCTGCAGTGCCCATTCCAGGTAAGGCAGAGTTCTGCTTCCTAAACATCCAGCCACAACAGTTTTTCACCCAAATACATAAGACAAGACGATTTGTTTGAGAGTCTTACACAAGAACATATTAAGCATCCTTTGAAGCTCAGTTCTCAAATAACTCCTTGTGCAATTTTTAACTCAAAACAATTTCCAAGATGACCAAATGTGAGTTCTCTTTTTCAGATTATCAAGTTTTTCCCTGGCAATGGCACTGCACCAAGGGTGAACTGCTCATATGTGGTAAGAGTATGAGGTCTGAGTTCCACACATTTCAAGCAGTGCATCTCTGAGAGCAAGAAAGTGCAGTTGTGACCAGAAAAAAAACCAGCCTTGCAGATCTGCAAATCAGAACCCAAATACTTTGAATATTCTCAGTTCTGTGCAACTTCTTGCACCAGCACACACGCTAAGGAAAAACCCTAGAAGTTTGCTTTATTTTAAATCACCTGAAACATTGTATTTTCATGCTGCAGAGAACATTTGCTGTTAGCTTTCAGCTCCCCGTAGTGACATTCACGCCTCAGCGCAGCTCCCCCAGGCTCTCTGCACATCTCAGCAGGTCCAACTCACTGAGCTCCCAACTGTAATCAAAGCACACTTGCCTGCTTTTCTCGGCAATAGTGACAGCGGGAGATTCCCACTTTTATTTGAAAAATAAGCCTGGTGCTAAACATCCTGCTGAACTCGAGCTGTAACACACACTTAGCACCCTCAAACGCTTGCCTCACGCTGGCCAATGATTTCCTGGCCAACAGARCCCCTTCCTCCCTTGTTTTACCAACAGGGTGACGAGTCTCGCCCGCTGGAGGTGGACTACTACCCTGTGAACGGCACCTTCAACCTGCACTACTTCCCCTACTACGGGAAAAAGGCTCAGGTGGGTGCTTCTGTATTTTTCTTCTTTCTCTTTGAGCATGGATCATCTCTTCGATTCTATGAGAACTGGAGAGGCTATTTTTAAGACTTCATTTTAAAACAGGTAGTGTAAAATAAAAGTACTTTCTTTTTCTTTTTTTTTTTCTTTTGCCTCCTAGCCCAGCTACAGCAATCCTTTGGTAGCTGTGAAATTTCTCAACATTACAAGGAATGTAGAACTTAAAATAGTGTGCAAGATCATTGGAGCTGGAATTACGTTTGATAATGTTCATGATCCCTATGAAGGAAAAGTGGAATTTAAATTGAAAATAGAAGACTGAGCAGCAACAGAGACACTTCTGAAAAATATGTGAAGAGTAAACTTAACTATTACCACATTCATCTATATTTATTTTCTCATTAYGGCTCCCATATAAATTACAGTGCAGAGACATTTTCTACTGCAAGATGACCCACAGAGCTAAGATTAAGATCCATCAAGATCCCACTCTCAGAGTGTTAAGATGAGGATTATCTCAATGTACATAGCTTAACATTTCATGGCTACAGTATGCTGCTGCCTTCATGCACAAATTTGTACAAAACAAGTTTCTCCCAAGGGGTGTAGCTGTGCCTTCAAACAACGTAACTACAGACTCAAAACATCACTTTGAATAATTTTTCAAACCATATTAAATAATTGATGTATGTTACTAAATCGTGGTTATTGAGAAATAACTAGATAGCTCAAAAAGGACATCAATACTCTGAAATACTAGCAGGCAATTAGATTTTCAATCTCTCTTGTATAGGATGTAGAAAAGTGTATTAAAATGATCTGTATCCCAATGCATTGGCTTTTTGCACTAGCCAGCTGAGTCAGATTTCTTTTGTTGACAGATCAATGACTGCAAAAGAAGGGAACTTGAAATCTGTCCTCTAATTCACAGGTTTCGCTGTACCACTTACCTCYATGTATATAACCTAATAAAAATGACTGGTTAGACTGTAACAACCAGTTACACCCAGGAAAGTGTTTATTTAACTAGAGGTTGTAATTAGTTTGGCTTTTTTTGTTTGTTTGGCATTTTGTTGTTGTGTTTGCTGTTTTTTTTTGTTTTTTTTTTTTTTGGGGGTTAAGTTTTTTGGCTTTTTTTGTTTGTTTGGCATTTTGTTGTTGTGTTTGCTGTTTTTGTGAAGGTTTTGTTCATTTGCTTTATGCAGTAGAATTGCGCTGTATTACAATGATGAGTTTGGGGTTACTTAGAGTAATCTGGAAGATGCTAAATAACACTAAATCTTTAAGTCAATCTAAAATTTGAGAAGTCTGACTCTATCACATGAGATACAAAGAGTCAAGATTGCTGTGCCTGTATGTTTACATTACCTGAAGTCCAGGATGCTCCAGCCAGAGAATAAATATTGCACACAAAAGTAAGATCTTCAAGACCAGAAATCATTTTACACCTTCACTGCCTGGACATTTTAGAAAGCAAGAAGATGTAAAAGATTACCTCCTGTACTACAGCAATACTCAGCCAGGCAGCTTGTAGAGAGAATCCAACTGGAGGGGAATATTTCCTCTCAAAAACACAAGTAATATTTGAGCCTTTCCTTTCTTAGAAGAATTCTGCATTTCAAAAACAGCTAGAAAATGCTTCCTCATATAAAACCTTTTTTTCCCTGGCTTTTCCTGTTTCAAATTTTACAGTGGGGCTTTGCCTTTCTTCTAAGAGGCAGTGAAAATCAATTTTATACTGTTGTTGGAACACAGGTCTCCCCCTGTGTATCATTCCAAAATAACACAGAAAACAATAAAATACTTTTGATAACAAAACAGTAATTCATGCTCAAGGTTAATTCTATGTTGTCCACAAACAAAACATTTAAATATTYTGAAGAAAACTGAGAACATTCCCTTGGTGCTCTAACACAAGCAGACTTTCTGCTTGACTGCATTTAGCATCTACAGTCTGCACTGAGCCAGGCAATGCAGTGGCACAAGCTCACATGCCAGTAAGCTCTACAACCCCAGAACAGGAATATGCTAACCAAATTCCCCATGGACTGTGTGCCTGCAAAACTACAACTTCAGAACAACAGCCTAGACCAGCTTCATAGAAAGACCTCTGATGGGATACATAAAGAAAGGCTGAAGTGTCCCTGTGTTGACCAAATGATGATGCGTTCTGACGTCAAAACAAAATGCCCATCAGATCCGGCTCTCTATGTACAAAGACTGTCAACCTGAAGATAATGTTTCTTGAATAATCTGAGATTATTCTCTTTCTTTACTGAAATCAGAAATAGTGACAACGAAGCGCAAGGTTTGTGGCGAGTGTAGCTGAAGTACGAAAGTACATTCATCCGTGTGTAGTCGGTATTAGTCCAAACCCCAAATGCAAGAACACGCAAATAGCGGAATGCCCGTCAAGCATTTGTAACTTTGTAACACCAATGACTGCACGGCACAGYCCAACACTGCCTCCAAGGATGCAATCTACTGAGCACAGCTGCACTTTGGATCCACAAAACTGAGAGAAGTTTCCAGATAAAGACAAAAATAAGCAGATGGGAAGGAAAACAGGCATCCTTGGGCATGCTGTCCAAGGCACAGGAAGTATGACTGGCAAAAGCAAAACAAGCTAAAAARCAACTGAATCCAGGGGGAGGAGGGCAAGAAGCAGAAAACAACAGCGACAAGAGGGAAGAAATGAAGACAGATCTCTGGCCTCATCACCTTCACCCTGGAGAGTGAGAGGACCTCAGCCACCAGTGCCAGCTGTACAGCAGCAGCTGCAAGTGACTGTGTGGTCAGCAAATTTAGTGCTTTAGATCAACAAGCATTAGACACTATCAGTTATATGCACACAGCAATAGTAATTGTTACAATGCAGGAGCTAAAATTAGCACAAAGTGTGTTAAGGAGTTAATTCAACCGTTTTGTTCTCAAATCTGAAACCAGCCATATTTATCAGTCTTCTAACTGCTTTCACTGCATGGCTCCAATTCCTTGAGAGACATACAGACACATTCAAGAATATATATATAGATACACACATATGTATATCTAAGCATATCTATATTCATATACACAGGTTATACATAAATTCAGCTGCAACATGAGCAGGATTTGACTAGACCAAACAATATAAATGGGGGGGAAAAGAAGCTACATGGGAAACTGAAGCAGTAGATTTAAGAATGAATTGCAAGCAAATGCAAATTCCTGAATTTAGTTAGRTGCTGATCAGCAAGCATGGGGATGGGTAGTTGGTCCATGCCTTTGGAGCAGTGGAGGGGCCAGGCAGGCAGTATCAGAGGAGACCCCACTGTGGTGCTCAGTGCCAGACTCTGCCCGTTTTTCCTACCAGCTGTGCAACAGCGAGGTTAACAGAAGAAAGGCACAAGGAAGGCAAAATAGGCCATGGAACTAACACATTAACAGCATGCATTCTTATATCCAATATATTTTAGTTTCCAGACTTATCTGCTAAAGGTGTTAAATAAAACCCTTGAAGATCTGTGCAAAGAGAACAGAAACACGGTGGTTGCTTTGAGATGCACCTTCCTCTCCACACCTCCTTCATATGAATATTCATGGCACTGGTAAATAATTGAAATGCAAAGTTCCTAAATCTGTTATTAAAAACTGTGAATAAAAATTCATAGTAGAGAAAAACACTGCATACAAGTTCCTTGATGCTTAAAGGACTTTGTGCTATGCTATGAGACCACAGCAAGTTCAAAGCTTCCTCTACCTTTCAGAATTGCCAAGTACTAGATATTAATAATTCAGTCTTTGCTTAATAGTCTCATATGACGTCATTGCTACTGCACTTGGGAATTCCTCCCACCATTTCACAGAGCTGTTTTTAATCTCTTACCTGTAATAAAAGCCAAGCAGAGATTGATTCTGCAACAAATAAAGCTGTCTAACCATGTGCTACTTTCAGTAATTGGATGTAAAGTAACAGCTACATCAATGCTTGCAGAGTATTTTCTGCTGTGCACCTAAGCTCCCTTCACAGGCTTTATTTCTTTAAGGCACAAAAGGTCAAGCTCAAACATTATTTTGTTTGAAGTAGAATAAACATGTGCATGAAAGAACAGGTATCCTTTACTTCAATTTGATTTGAAAACCTCTTCTCACTGGGGATGAAGACTGTTCACCTTTCTTCAATTTTTTTTTTTTTTACCAGAGTGGTAGCATCCAACGCGTTGAACTTCTTACTATTTTAAGAGCAGAAATAGGGCTGAAAATTCCCTTTTTAGGATCCTGCTACACCTCTGAGGAAGAACTGTATTCTGGAGGCACTTGGGATAACACCCTTCATTCGTTAATGTGTGTGYTTACATGTAGCCCTACTATTACCACAGTTATTTCTAATTTACTATTACCATAGAGTTTCATCATTCCAATAAAAAGTATGTCCCAGGGTTCATTGCTATMATCAAGTAGGTAACTCATTTTAATTACTCTGATTTCAAGTTCTAGTTATTAAATCTTTTGTCACTTTTCTCCCAGATACTCATGAGCCTATTGAAATGTTTTGTTTTTTTTTTTGTGGCCTGACACAAATCCACTAGTTACTCATTCAATCTTCCATTTTACTAAGCCAAAATAAAAGTTCTGTAAGTCTCATAGTAATAGATCATTATCTTAGGAAGAAAATAATTCAGGGAAGGGTATTTTCTCTGAGTCCTGATTTTTCCAACATCCTCTGGAATGGTGATGCTAACAAGTATGTGCACTAGTTGTCTCACTGAATGTATCTGGATGTAACACCATTTTCCAATCCATCATCAGTTTTACCTATACATTCAAATTCAGATGAGCTAGTAGGAGATATATATGGTTATAGTCCACCTTGACACCCTGGATCATTTTTAGGATCCTACATTTTCAGCGTAGTCTTTCCTCTCATAAATGTACCTTGAATTCTTTGTTCACGATATGTGGAGTTTAAACATAACATTCTTGGACATRACCTGCTTGCCAAATAATCCACATTAATCTCTTCACTGTTTACTTCTTTTCTAACCACTAGTACTTTAACATAGCTTTTTATTTTCTTCTGGGTTATTGAAGGAATTGTTAAACAGAAGTACAATTTAACTTGAAGAAGCTGTTCAGTCAGTCATAATGCCACAAAAACGATTCAGCAGTAGAAACTTCATAACCCTTTAACATACAATCTGTTGGTATTACAAAACCAACATGGTATTTAAAATCAGAATGCATGACATTAAAAAGGTTTAAAAATGCTGAAGCACAGCCACTGTTTCCTTAATCGACTCAAAATTTACAATCTCCTCCCTTATTCAAAGACYTGTTCTGTACTTTGTTATTAACGACCTTCCAAGCTTCCAGTTTTCTTTCAGCTGTTTCCTTCAACAGTTTTTCTAATACGAGGTTCAGGGCTGATCTCAAGCTGTCTAGACCACATTTRGACAGGACTTCCTCCCATCTTTGACACTTTATTTTTTCACACTTTGAAACTGGCACTCTAGCATTATTTTTAAGGTTCATTAAAAACCAGCATCAGAAGCTGCCCAACATAAATTATTGGGGTTGCCTGTTTTAAGAGTATGTACTGATGTTCTGCTTCATTTTTAATAAATTCTCTGAGGTTTACATCAATAAAGGACAGGAATCTCGTCTGAAGTCTACAACTTTGCTGTCTTTTTAACATGTTAYAATACAGATGCTCTGACCAGGTAGGGCTGACAAAACTGCACTCTTTACAGAGACATGTACGCAGCAACATGATAAAAGATC